TTGGTCAGTATTAGTTCCACTGCTTTGAGCCGAGTGGTCCTTTGAGGTCCGACACACCGCTTAACGCCAAAACTCGTGTTATGTGCCCATCTGAACCATCCTGTCACAGTTGATTTAGACTTTTATCCCATTGTAAAGAGAGATTGGACTGGAATGGACTGGACTTGGACTTGTAAAACGAAAACTTGGAAAACGATGACTTGTATAACCTGGACTCGTAAAACGAGGACTAGTAAAGCGAGGACTGAAAAAACGCGGACTTTCAAAACGAGGACCAGTAAAACAAGGACTTGTAAGGCGAGGACTTGACATGCTTATTACAATTCAATAATAAAAATGGGGGTCTTAATTTGGAGCTCGTTTTTTAGTTACTTGCTCTTAAAGCTAAAATCAAGGATGTCCTTAACAGGTAATACTGTTACTATGGCAACCTATGACGTTATGAAGATGACCATATTGTTCAACAATGACCGAGCATTTGTTTGATACCATCAGGCCCCCCCCCCCTCCCCCTGGAGTTATCGATCTAGAGTTCGAATCAAATAAAAGGGAATAAAGAAATAAGCAAATGGATGGGGAGTGAATGCAACTATCACTAATATTTTGAAAAAAGGAATTCAAAAGTAACAAAGCTTGAGTTTTAAAGTCTATTTCTTAGGCCTCATTATTCCCCGCGGTCAAAGCGTTGGGTAAGAAAATCTGGTTATCTATGCATCTGTAGCCTGTGGACAGGCTCTCTGTTTGGGGGAAAAAATAGCGAGGAAAGGGAAGGGAAAGGGGAACAGCTTTGCCCTCTCCCCATATCCCCGCTCGACCAACGGCCTGTTTGCAGGCTATGCATCCGATTAATTTTGGTAGTCAAGCGCCCCGCGCGTCTATCTGCTCCACAGGTATACCAATGTAAAATAACTCAATCAACAGGTATGGCCATGGATATCTATCGGTATGACAACCTACAGGAGCTGTAGGTTTTGGCGCGAAATCGCGTGGCCACCTGTACTTTTAGAGAGAAAAAACAACAACCAGGAGCTCCTGCAACAACAAAGTCGTTGCCTGCGTGGCAGGTGCAACAAGGGGAGGGGAAGGGGGGGAGGAAGAAAAGCACGAAAGAGGGGAGAAGCAAGGGGAGCTAGCCTCTCTCCCCAAATCCCTTTTTCTTTTTCCCTTCCTCCCTATCCCCTCCAGACGCCTACTACGCAGGCTACAGAGCCGAGTCTTTTTTCGACTAAGTTTTATGGTCTATATTGATGGCGTGGGTAACAGGAAAGAGAAAGAGCTACAGCTTGACTGATAAAAAACAAAGGAGACGAATTTTGTAGTGGGTAGTGCTCCTCATTGGTTGAATGAAATTTCCCACTCGGCACGACCAATCAGAAGCACTAACCAGATCTGGGTATTGACGCGTCATTAGTATGGAATTTCTGCACTCGTTTCTCAGACGTCATTTGGCCGGGAAACCAGTGGTAGCGTCGCCAAATGTCGGCTGTTTTCTCAGGCTAGCGCAGGGTTCGAGTTAGCGAGGGTTTGAGTTATCGGGAGTCAACAAACGGTGCGGTGTGTGTCTGGGCGTTGTGCATTGCATTAAAACTGGCATGGCATTAAAACTCGAAGTTGGCCCAGGTGTTTTGAGTTTCAATCCACGTCTATCCTTCCCAGCTGTAGCAACAGGCGACAGGAAACAGTTTCAATGCCTACATATAGTCTTAAATCAGTTAAATAACAAAACTGGATTACTATTTTTGGAAGTGAATTGATGAGAAGGCACTTTGTTGCTTTTTAAAAAGTAAGCCAAATAGCCAACCTCGTCCCCAGGGCACTTTTCCCTGACTTTGGAGGTGGGGCGGGAAAGGGCCCTAGTACCTCTTCTCCCAGATGACAGGCATACACCAAGTTTACATATTTAGTCGTTCTTGGAGCTATGTAAAGGGAGACAGAATTTAACAACCAATTAAATTCAATATCCACAGAGCAGTTCTCTTTTTAGGATTCATAAGGGACCCTTCATTTTTTATGGGGTAGGCGGGGGCTGGTGGGATTTGGAGGAGTGTAATTTGAAAATTGTATGACCCACCCAAATTTCCGATTTTTTTCGCATGCCCCCCCCCCTCATCAGAGTAATTTTTTGGAAGGCCCCCCCACCCCATGAATAAAAAAATACATAAGGTATTAAAAAAGTTACTGCATTAAAATTTCGTTTTGTTACATTTCACGTAATTTAGTGAAAGAAAGCTGAAAGCTAGAAAGCTGTTTTTAACAAATCCTCACTCGAAAGAATGAAAAGTCAATTTCAGCTCTTCTTGTTACTGTTGAGAAACTGAAAGGGCAGTTAAAAATTCTGAGTGATCATGACTCCACGCTCTTCCAGGCGAATGGCATTACCCTGAAGCCTGACAAGAAATTCCACCATGACTTCAATGTGCAGCACATCGCTAGGATTGAGGCAAAGCAGCTCAAGGTTTCAGGGGAATTAGAAAACCTCGAAAAAAAGAAGGAGACCTTTGACCAGGTCTTCAAGGGCTTAACAGGACACTATGTGTCAAAAAAAAGAAAATTAAAACAAAACCGTAGGAAATCAAAGGGCAGAAAATGCAAACGGTTTGAAAACAACGTCCTACGCGTGTATCATATCTGCGTTGCAAATCCCCTTGCAAAAGAGCTTCCCAATTGTCTTCTTTATCCTCCCTCCATGACAATTCCGGAAGCGTGCATAAACGTTGAAGATGTAGCAGCATTGTTGCTAACACGGGATGCTGCATGCAGCATTCATCGCTCACCTACTGCAATCAAGCTACTTCAGCAACGCGGCACAAAGCAGGCTTATTACCAACCTTAAGCCAGTAGTAAGAAACAGGATGTATTGCTTCCTGCATCCTGAAGATTATAGCTCAAACGTCGGAGACACGAACAAAGAGGAAGAAGAAAACGACGAAGAAGAGGAAGAAGAGGAAGACAACGAAGAAGAACAGGAGGAAGAAGAAGAGGAACACAGCGACGACGAGATCGAAGAGAACGTCGAAAATGAGGAAGGGGACACCTCGTAGTAGTTTCATGCCCCTCCCATTAAATTTCTCAGAGAAAAGCTCTGGTAACGAGGTCAGTTCCAATTCAGGACTCAAATTATTAGTTTTAATTATATGACCTTGACAACAACATTTTTATGAATGAAAAGAAAGTTGTTGCTATTCAAGACTGTTATTATGGTATGTTCACTGTCCTTATAAAATATAAAAGCTGTTGAGAAGTTTTCTTGTTACCCTGGAACTGTTTTAGCATATTTGTTATAAATAAAAGAGCACAATTTTTCTTCGATTTGTAAACATCTCTTATCCTATTTTTAATCTAATTTTTTCGTCCGACCCCTCCTTTCCTTCATTTTTTTTCGGCTGGCCCCCCCTTTCAAGCCAATTTTTTTCGAGTGCCCCCCCCCCCAAATCCCACCAGCCCCCCCTCTCTCATAAAAAATGAACGGTCCCTAATAAGGATGGATCTTTCAAATAGAAACTGAATCACAATCTACTACACAACAATAACAAGCTCTATAAAGAGTGTGAATTACAGATTGCATTCCAATGCATGATTACAATGGCAACATATAAATACTGCTGTGTGGGTAAGAGGAAGTATTAGTACGCGAATCAACCCTGGGGGAGGGGGGGGGTACTTCCCTATATAAGCTATATAGGTATGTGCAGTGGTATACACTTTGCCCAATTCATGGTGTGTTAACATCTTGCCGAGGAACACTAGGGAGGGAAAGACCAGGGTCAGAAAATCTACCCTTAAGACCTGAAACAGTGACTTGTTTTGTAACGGTTCTGTGGAACTAATCCTGCTTATAAATGGCATCTGGGTATCCCCTGGCCACCTTCCTTCACGAGAGGTGTATGTTTAAATTTTGTTGGAACAGTTACTGCGTTTATACCGCCATATACATGCATGCACTTACATTTCCGTGTACCTATAAAAATACCTGCCACTTTATCAGAACACTGCACATCACACTCAGCAAGGTTTAAGAATACAATGATAGAGATTCTGAAGACTTCTACAGATCCACAAATCTCAAAGGGAGTTGATGCCCTCAAACAACTACTGTTTCTGAAGAAAAGAAGGATACAGTTCCCCGTTGTTGTCCCCGCTTCCAAAATCGCGTGCGCGTTAAATCCCCGCTCATGACCCGGGTGGAACAGGCATCTTGTTAATTCCGCCGCTCCCCGGGGGACAACATGTTGTTAAATGTGTGTTTAATCCCCGAATAGTGGCGTTAAATCCCCACTATCTCCCACCATGCTGCGGGGGTCGGGGGGCCTTCCCACTATTCTGTTTGAACTTTGTCTTCGCCCGATGAATATTTTAATCGTTTCCCACCATTTTGACAACGTGGAAATCGGGATAAATCTATATGTGACAAACTGGTAACGATAACCTTATTTGGCATTTGCAGGAGCATTTGTCTTTTAATTTTAAATATGGTTTTGAAGGTTTTTGAGGTCCGTATCCTGTCAACAAGACGATCAAATATGACGAATATGCCTTAGAACGGTGGATTTCTACAGAATTGACGCCTGGAAATCAATTTTACGAGGCAAAAATGGAATATTCGAGAAGTGTATTCCATCGGCTTGTGACTGTTTAACTTTACCGTGAGATTTTAGTACCTCATCGTGAGACCGTGAGATTGTTCTCGAAACCGTAAGTCTCACGGCAAAACCGTGAGTCTTGAGAGGTCTGTAATAATAAAGACAATGTATTCAAAATATGATTGAATACTGGATTGTAAAAGCAAGCATAAATTCAAAACAACTATGTTGTTGTGCAAACAAAAGCTCGGGTTGTATTTTAAGGGTTGTATTGGTTTTTTCATAAACGGACTGCTCAGGTCATTTACATGATGTATAGTACATCTTTAATCACTCTTACATGACATACTTAAGGTAAATCCAATATGGACGGTAACCAACAATAGTCATTTTTAAACCTGTTTATCTTTTGCGTTCAACATGAGTTACGTTACCACAATAGTTCTTGTTCTTTTTGGAGTGTACGTAGCTAACAGTATTTATGTAATTTATCACCTTTTTCACTTGCCGGAATGCCAAGGTGGTGTTAGAAAGTGTCTTCGTCCAGATGGCGTTATTGATAAAGAATTGGAGGTAGGTAAGACTTACATGTACAGGAAAATCCATCTTTTTCTCCGACCAACAATAAATGAGCACTTTTTCTATCCTTGTATATATACCCTATTGTTAAAATGGAATGGCCCTCAGCTGTTTCGTTAATAGCGCTTTGCACTATTACTAAAAATAGGTTTTGTCACCTTAGAACCCCCCCGCGTGACTCAGACAAACATTGCATTCTACTCAAAGGCTTTGTGTGAGTAACATACGTTTCTGACATGAAAATTGTTCATAAAATTCGCAGTGAGCGTTTTTAAAATGTGTTTTAGAGCTACTCCAATATATAAAACCTTGTCCAAGTAACTAAAAAAATTGGTTAAAGTCAGAAAAAAATAAAGCGACTTGATTAATGAAGGCTACTGAAATCGGATCCGTGGCCCTGTCTTCGTCAAATAGCATTCTATGCACTGAAACATGACATGGCTGTGTAATGCTCCAAAACCAAAAATGCTGTAAACCTCCCAATTTTAAGCCCTGGACATATACTATGTTGTCAGGAGTTTAAGTAGGGCTTATAAACTGGACAAAAAAAGTGTTTGAAAACAAGCTACATAACAGTGTTGATCAAATTTGATAACTTTTTTAATCTTCAAAATGTCATAAAAAGTTGAATTCATTTCAATGCAAGTTAGAGGGGGGCTTATACTAGGTGGGAGGTTTACATAACCAGATGTTTTCTTTGTTTAAAAGTAGATGGACCTATAAATGGGGGGGGGGGGGGTGGGGTGCTCAGGGGGGAAGGGGCGGGGGGCATAAAATCTAAAGTTCTACTGAATACGCTTAGAAAACTGGTCTCACGACGTTTGGACAGGTACACGAATATTTTAACCAGTCAAACAGGGATTCGAGCGCCTGATAAGTAATGCACCGTTGTCTCTGACATAAGAGTTATTATGTCCAAATACAGAGATACTTGCATTCTTATAATCAGAAGTTTAACAGTATTAGCTTGCTTCATCTGTTTCCCTCTGTTGTAACAAGATACCGGTTTCTTCGATGACTCAAAGAGGTCATCACAGCTTAACTGCAGAATACCCCATTACTTCTAAGCTATATCCTAAATTGGGTGGATACCTGGATACTTGGATATGCAGATGTGCCAAATGGGGGAACTGGATACCAACGTCATGTAACATACTTCAAATGACCAGCAGTGTGCGGTCAAACATCCCGGCCATAGTATTATGCAAAATTCAACTAAGTTCCTGTGAAAAGCAAGGTACAAATGTAATACAGTCGAACCTCACTGTGCGACCACCCCCCATAAGTGAGCATGCACCTATCCAAAACACCAAAACTTTCCCACTCAAAGCCTTACTTTTGGAACCTCTAGTAAACAACTAGTAAGTGACCGTGGCCACTTTTGCTCTTGTTTTGTTTTGTATTTCTTTACTGTATTTTTTGTACCTATTAACTGGTTTCAATTTATTCACATTGCTGCCCCATCACAGCATCGTGAGTTGTTGTGGTGAATGTATTTCTAGTAACTTTATTTTTTTTACAGGTATTAATCTGTACATCCCTTCAGCAACACAGGGTCAACAGGAAAAATTGTCCCTTACTTTGGAAGAGTGACAACTTTAGTTTGTCAGAACAGTTTGCAATGTGAGTCTCATGAGGATTATAACTTACATGTGTGTAGTGTTGTGGGATACTTGTACAAGTCACGCTGTATTTTCATAAGCCCCTACGGCCATTCAAAACACAAGAGAGGAGTTTTTGATTAAAAAACTGTTCTTTTAAGTGTCCTGCTTAGCCTGTGAATACAGCTGCTTTTCCTTGCATGCATAACATTTGACCGTTTTTTAGTACACTGTAGATTCACGGTGTTTAATAGTTTAATACTGAATTTGATTTGTGTTACCTTTTGTATTTTTGCTATCCTTTGTTAACAGTAAAACAGTACGTACTATGTTGACCGTTAAGCACTCGTTGACCAGATTACAGACAAATCTACGTCATTAGACTGAGTATGGAATTTTTTGGCCGGACCACACATGTCTCTCCCTCAAAACATCCCAAGTGGCAAGAAGTGAGGAGAGACAACTGAATTCAAAGGCTACTTCTTGAGCTAAATTGCACTACATAATATGATGTCGTTTTTGACTTGTAAAATGAGAGGTAGCTATTGTTGGCAATGCTGAGAACTTAAAAATTTGAAACTCTTATGTACAGGTCTATTTTCTTTTTTAAAAAAAAGATTCGAATTTTAAACTTGTTTTTATTAAGTTTCTTGCTTATCGCACATTGTTGGTCACTAAAATAAACAACAACAACAACAACTAAAAATGCTTGTTTTATTCATTTAAAGCAACAGCAGATGTGGAATACACTACATGTTGACAAAAAATTATCACCATGGTTTAATGTATACTTGGCCACTGTAACCACATGTTTCCTTGTATACATGAACATTTCCATGCTCAAGTTGCATTTGAACGTCCTATTTTTACAGATCAGTAAATGCCAGTTTACCGCAGAAGACAAGAAATAATGGATCGCTATTTGCTCACCTGTTTATTTATCCAGTTGGAGCATCTCCTTTCAACAGTGAATATGCTTCACATGCTGTTGCTCCATTAACTGTGTACTCTTTACCTCAAGATGAATCAATTAATCTTTTAAATTCTGGTGAAATGCCAAAAAAGGTGAGAATTCTAGTGCGCCACCCTTGTTTGTGCAGAAGGGGGGCACTGTTTTATTTGGCCTAAATGAATACATAATGTGCTACTTTTAACACGGTGTGGCTTTTGTGGCCTTGAGCCTTCAATTTACTTGGTGTACAATTTTCTTTTTTTCTAGTCCTTAACAGGGTGTCTTTCTAGAAACCTTGATCTGGTTGTGAACAATAGCCCTGCATGGTCTATGCATTGTACATCACCAGTACAATAATTTTCTAAAAAATCAAATTTTATGATGTCACATGTAAGAAAAAACTTTTGTTTGTATTAAATTTGAAATGAATCAGTGTCACAAAAAGGCCTCTTGTCTAGTGAATTAAGGTGATGAATTGACTAGATTTTCTCTGGCGACTTAAACATTTTCAGGGCTTGAAAGACTATTAATGGCACACATCTAGCCAATAATACATGCACCCCCACCCTTAACTGCCCGTCTCCCAGTCTCTTTGGCTCTTATCAAGAGACGAGAGGGATCAAATAGATTGATAAAGTGATCAAATATTGTTTATTTTGCAGAAACAAAGTTCACCATCCAGTGACATCCCAGTGACGCACTGGAAACCAATACTCAACTTTCATGTTTTAAATGAAAAAGTTGTATTTGATCGTCAAGCCATTCCTGGTGAGATCTACCCATTTATAAGGTAAGTGAATAGTCAACTGTAAAGTTTTAGCTGAAGTAATGCTCCTTTCTCCTTTCAAAATTACCAGGTTTTTTTTTTAATGCACATTATAGAGTGAGATGAGGTAAATTTTAACCCTTATGGAAATGTGACAAGTGGCAGCCATATTGGATTTTTCACCAAACTTGGGGTACCTACTATTTACATGGAAAAACCTGAAATTCCAGTTAGCTAATTAAATGGCTCTCGCCACTTGTTTGGGAAAGCTTCGGAAAATATGGGTTGTGATTTGAGGCAATTCAATTTTTCTACTCTTTTTTGTCTGTTCAGCTGAATTTGTTATCCTTTGCAAAGGGTCATTCTCGCACTAAGTCAAATTTTATAGTTTTGTGTTTATATTATGTGCCCAAGATTTCTACCCATGGATGGTTTGTGTAAATAGTAAAAGCACCCTTGTTTTCGTAAGAAGATTCTTGTCACTTTTGCTAGTTCATCTTCTTATATTTATATGTATGTTTGTTGGTTTATGCTATAAATTTATACAGTAAGTATGGTATGTGTAAGTAACATGTAAATTATCACAAATGACATAACTACTCAGTCTGGTTATCTAAAATAGCAAAATTAACCATTAAAGTTCCAACAGCGATCAACATCAATTTTCTCTTTACAATATCAATACATAATCAAGAGAAATGGTAGTGAGAATAAATGAAATGATCACCTACAGGAAACTGCTTTGATCTTTTATCAAATTCTCCCAGCCATTTATTAAGAAACTGCATATGGAGATCAGGTTAGATATTATTAGTGAATATTGTGGTTTGAAGGGTTAATAATACCACTATCTTCACCTAAGATGTTGTTCTTTTCCATTGTTTTTTAGTTTAGCCCCCAATAATGACTATCTGCCAGTTTTATATATTGATCAGCTGGGTGTTATTTATAGATACCTCAAGGTAAGACTACTATCATTAACTTATATGAGGTATCACTGAACCATGTTTTGCTTCATATCATAGGATGTTCAGGTTGAAATTTGGACAATCCTTCAAGAGTCATGTGTAAGATTATGGCCTAGATACAATGAGTCCATTGGAAAAGAAGTCTTGATTATCAGCCTCATGAGCCCACTCTCATCCCTCACTTCTCGGGGCAAACCTAAGAGAGCAGTGTAAATTGAGCGTTAACCCAATCCTGAACCTGTAAAGTTCATGGTGCCCAGCGTTGATTTTTATGCAAAAACTGAGAATTCTCAGTCACCCAAGAGCAGAAGTGAGGCCTTGAAACATTCTTCTGACTGTTTTGGTTAGATATAAAATGAAGTCTTATAAAATAAAAATGAGTGTTTAATAATTAAATAACTTATGCAGATAGAGGCTGTTCCTTGGAAAAGCTCAGCAACAAACAGTTCCCTATGTAAATTTTACTTGTTTGCTATCATGATGTTTTGTTTTGGTTTTTGTTTTTTCAAGCCTGTGAATAAAAGTAGTACACAGATGGAACTTAAGATCAAATACTCACCCATCTCCCTTGGGAAGCTTCGCATCTGGGCATCTGTTCATCATTCATTCGCATCTATGAGGCAACTAGGTAAGAAATGCTTTGTGACAGGGAGTAAAGTAAGCAAGTTTTTAATGTGGATTGTACAATTGCAAAGTTTATATGATTATATTGATACCTTCAGTTGTTTCTTTGAATAGAGCAGTTTTCAATTATTAAAATAATTATTATTCATACTTACATGTAGCTCCAAGCCTGAGGGATATGATTGAGGCCCATTCACACTAATGTGTTTTTGTTTGAAAGCACTTATAATTATTGTGATGCATTTAGGCCTGAGCATTTTCATCAAAACGCATTGATTTGAAAACGTTCTCGAAATTGGATCAAAATCTTGAATGCCAATGTGAAAGACATTAAACCGTGACTCAGAAATTTAGTGTACACTTCGGTACTCTGTTGTGGACGAGAACGAGAAGTTCACTACAGATGTGGATCTGGAATTTTTCATGACTGTAAATCCAGTTTTTATAAGGATGTTTTATTTTTTATGGGCTTTTAAAGTTGGGAACCTGCCCTCATACAGTTAACGACTGTTGAAGCAGTCTGAATGCTGTTGTTGTTTAAAACCTTGTTTGTGCTGCCGTAGATGTTGATAAGGAAACGAAACGTTAATTTAAGGTTCATAAATGTATCCAAGGTGTTAAATGTTTCTCATTTGAAAATATGTCAGCTCTTGGATATGTGTCTAGTAATCATAACTTCTTGTAAGCAGTTGAGTTTTTTTGGAGGTTGTAAGTAGTGATCATGTGACTGTTGATAACTGCTCTTTCCGTCTGTTAATATTTGTAAATCGCTGATGAACTCAATCTTTGAAAACTACATATTTTCACATTCTCGGGAATGATGAGAGACTCATTTAGTTGTTTTGTTAACTATTATTTCATCTGTGTGGGTTTGAAAATCCTCCTATAAAAACTCCTACATTTTGACCTAAAATCCTATATATCTCCTATATTTTTTTCTGCTTTGCTCCTACTTTCCTTACAAATTATTTGGAAAATGGCTGGGATGTGTGAAATAAGGTCTCACGTCCTTAAAAGTGTCAAATTATCCCCTCCCTTTAAGATCACTTTCTCAATTATATTAGAGACATTTTATAATAGTTTCTAAGACGAGGGCGACCACGAGAATGAGATTTTCACAGTATTAAGTAGTCCAGTGTCATATTGGCGGGAAAATGCAATAGCCTTCGTCAATCTATTACGCGTCGTATGTGGTGCAAACAAGCGATGAAATGTAAGATGTCTTATCATTTTGCGATCGAGTGAGGACTTAACCTCCTTCAATGAAAATAACTGTGTTAACGTTTCGGGTGAATGAAATAATAATAAATAAATTAATTAAAAAGCTTTATAGGGTGTCTGGTTTTTGAGAATGCGTGAAAAAAATCCTCGTAGTCGTTCTCGTCCTAGTTTTTTTAATTTCATTTTGTTGAAGGAAAACTTCATAAGTGCCCCCATGCACCCATTTCGAAAAAAGAAGGTCAGTGCTCAGTAGCCTGCGAGCAAGCTCTCCATTTGGGGTGAAGTCACGCGAAAGGAGACGCGAGTGCGAGGGGTTTCATCGCTCGCTCGCGCGTTCTCTCACGGCTTGCTTCGCTCGCTTGCTCGCAGGCTTAAGCCCCGTGCAAACGGACGCAACATTGTTGGCCAACAACTCCCAACATTGTTGGATGTTACATGTTGCGTCCGTTTGCACACCCTGTTGCATGTTGATGGATGTTGTTGCGTGTTGTTGGGCAAAGTTTGAAACCAGTCAAACTTTTCAGCCAACAACTCCCAACATTTCTTTTGTTCCGTGATCGCCGAAGCGTAGCGCAACAATGTTGAATCCATTTGCACAGCTCTTCCAACATTGATGGGGCCACGCACGCTCATTACGCATGGTTTACAAAGACTTATGGGTTGTATCCTTCCCACGATGCACTGCAGGTCCCAACATTGTTGGGAGTTTTGCATCCGTTTGCACACCACTGCCAACATGCACGCAACAACTCCCAACATTGTTGGCCCACCAATGTTGGGAGTTGTTGCGTCCGTTTGCATGCAACCTTAAGTGCTCAGACACTTACTGGATTTGTCAAACCTAGTTATCTCCTTTTACATTTCTTATATTTGAAATCTTCAGTAACAAATCCATTTAGGTCTTATTTAATTTTTCAGGATTTTCAGAAAAGGACTTAGATGAAATAAGAGGAATCTTCACAGACACCAATCTTATGTTTCTTGGTCTGACATTTGCCATTACAGTACTCCACGTAAGTAACATTACCACATCAGCAATTATAAAAGATACTCTTTTCTTTCCAAAAAATGGCGTGTTTTGTGATAACGAAATCGCGGAGAGCTAAATCCAAACAATTTACTTTGAGAGCTGACAAATGGTAAATTCGTGACTCTGTGCAAAGACTGCGAGGCTAACCCTTTTCCCCGTGAGCCTAAGATTTGTGAATTTCCCACTCCAGAAGCTATAAGGAGAATTGGTACAAGCTTTCGGCGCAACGATTTCTGGGATCGCTTGCGTGGATAAGCGTTACTTGTGATTGGTTAATAGTTGGCTTGAATACCATCGACCAATCATAACTAACACTTGTCCAACCGAACGATTCCAGAAATCACTGCACCTAAAGCTTGTAGCCATTCTCCCTATAGTTCATGAAGTGGGTATTAGCGAGAATGAAACCGCAGAAGAGTGTTTAAAATGCCGTCTAGGGAGACTTTGACCGACTCTAAGACTTATAAAATTCTAGCTCTAAACTCTCGGAGTTTTTCTCAAACTTCTGATTAGCCGTTCCGCTACTTAAACAGGGCACAAATCACCGATCAAATTCCAAAACATATTCGCAGGGTGGTAGGCTTCTTTCTGGCTAAAATTGTGGGGAGAAGCCCGTGTCAATGCGGAGAAGCCATTTATATATTCAAAAATAGGGATTGCAAGAATCTCAAAGCCCTCCAAAACATCTAAATTCTTCTAACATTTTGCGAGACTCCTGTATTTTTTTTGAGGGAAACATATTTTTAATTTCTTTCCTTTTCATTTTGTTGCAGCTTCTGTTTGATTTCTTAGCATTTAAAAATGATATTAATTACTGGAAGCGCAGGGACAGCATGGTGGGACTATCAATGAGAACAGGTGGGTGTCAGGGAATAGGGGAGTCAATCGAATCTTTCAATTTTTTTGCGTCATTCGTATATGCCTTTCATTCAGTTATCTGTGAAAATTGGAGCCCGATATACCGAATAGTTTCGGAGAAATTATCTTTGAAAAACTAGAAACTTTACAAACAATGTATGGGCTCATTAACGCGGTTTTTGCCACCCAGCAATTTCGCAGTTTTCGATAGCTGCTGTTTCCTTTGTTATTGCTTGCAAAGAGCTGAAAATTGGACAAATTGCTCAAATTAACCAACTCTTTCAACTTTTGAATTTAATTTGTTCATTTCGTGACGCCTTCTGTTTTTGTGAAAATGAGTTTTATTTGCATGAGAATATAAATTACTTTTCATGTCAATGGGTTTGCACTTAGCCTCCCTTCGAAACAGAGGCTTAGGATAGAGTAACTCAGAATGGACTATTACCGTTGGTGTCAGAGCTCTTTCCGTACGCGCGACTGGATGCTACGGACTCCCGACAGACGAGCCGCGAAGCTTTTCGCGCTGATCACCAAAAAGACTTGACTGAAACCGGAAACTGCGCTTTAAAAGTCTCCCTGGGTCGGGAAACGCTTCCGTATTATAAGCGTTCCATGAAGTTTGTATTTACAGGGTCTGAAAGGGGCGTCCTGATCCCGCATTCCCGCTCTTTACTTTCACGACAATCCCGCATCCCGAACTTCCCGAACAAAAACCGTTTTCTTTCCCAATACTGCACACTGTGCCAAGATTTTGGCGAATCCCGCTTCCGAGTAGCGGTCAAATCCTGTATCCCGTAAGTGAATTTTGCGTTTTCCCGAATCTTGCGCTATATTTCTGGTCAAATCCCGGATCCCGAGGTAACCCTTTCAGACCCTGAATCCCTTACTTACAACTTTTTTCTCATTAGCACATGCTTAAAAAGATCATAGCAGAATTAGCTATCTTTAAAATTTTGAGCTCGGTATATCATTTTTTTTTTGGAGGAATTCTGTTTTTGAAACTGACAAAAACAAAAAATGTATGACACATTGGAATTTTTGGCACCAATCAATTTTGCAGTTTTTGATGGTTAGTGAACAGCGAGTTTAAAAAGCTAAGGCGTGATTATTGTTTGCTTCAGTGAAATTCTAACTCCCTCATATATTCACCTCGGATGAGACATTAAACTTATAATAATTGTTGACGGTCAAACTTTTCTTCTAAAAGTTGACCAATTGAGGCCCTTGTTTGTCGTTTGCAATGGTTAGTTTTTGTTAAGAGCTATTTTCTCAATTGTTGCACTGCAGTTATTTGGAGATGTGTCAGTACAATCATTATCTTTTTATATCTAATGGATGAGAAAACCAGCCTTCTTGTTCTTATTCCTGCTGGGATCGGCTCATTGATTGAGGTAGGTCGACGTCGTTACTGAGTTATGCCCTTAACAACAAGAGTTGTAGGCAACAGTTAAAGTTTTGATTTTATCTTTTCCTCAAAACATGAAACAACTGGCAGGCAGGGAGGTATTAGGAGCATTTCTATCGGGTTTCTGTTTGTGCGAGTACTAGAAAAAGTGTTACTAAAACTCCGAGAATGAAAGGAAATGTCAGACTCCTGAGTGGAAAAAAAAAGAGAAGATGACTATATTGAGACGCCCTTAATAGTTGAAAAAGTTCGATCAATAGTTTAGTGATTTCTGTATTAAAGTATTTGTTTGTTTGCTTGTTCAGATTTAGTGTAATTAAAATAAAACTGTGATAGAATATTATTTATTGTAACTTAAAATTGTAGTTTTTCCTTCCTTTTCCTTTCCTTTCTTTTCCTTTCAATTTATTTTTCTTTTAACTGGTCCGCCTAGATTAGCAATTGCTATTTTTCGGGCCAGTCTATTGTAACCAATAGTCTTATGAAATAAAGTTGAAGTTGAAGTTGAAGTGGTGCAAACTGGAATGTCCAGAGGGTTTGGGGTGGGGCACAGGAGATTAGATCAAGAGACAAATCAACAAAAAATTGTCTTAGGAGGTATAGAGATTTTCTTGACCGAAACATTGCGGCGTTGTTTTATTTGAGTTCAACTTAATTTTTTGTTCTGTACAGATGTGGAAAGTGACCAAGGCATTCAAGGTCAATATAACATGGGAAAAAGGATCAAGGCCTTCAATACAGGTGATTATTTCTTTATTATTATTAATAGAGCTGACCGGCCTACGCTGCTGTGTCATGAAATAAGGTTAAGCTCTGTCATATTTATTGTTGCCTGAATTTTTTTCGTTTTATAGTTTGGGAAGCGTTCAAGCAAGGAACAGGAGACAGAAGAATTTGATAGCGAAGTAAGTGAACGAACAAAATACTGGTACATTTATTAATGGGAACACCACTATCGAGGATTCGTGTATATACATTAGCGCCATTTATACGAGGAAAAAATTAGGACGCGTATTTCATAAGACGCAACCGCCCTAGTTTGTTCCAGGCTCTCATATAGTAGGATTGACGCGTAAGTAAGGCACGTGCGCGCTTTCTCAATTTCGCGGACCCGACTATCTCGGAGCCTGGAACAGGCTAAAACTGCCCCGTATAAACTGCACATTTCGTCTGTAATAAGATGCGACTTGGCTAAGACGCGTCTTATCTAACAACAGGTGTTAAGGGCTGTTCTTAGATAAGACGCGTCTTAGCTAAGTCGCGTCTTATTTCAGATGAAATGTGCCGTTTCTGCAGGCCGCGTCTTATGAAAGACATGTCTTATTTTTCCTCTTATAAATGGCCAAGTTATTTCTTACTCAAGTGAACAATTTTGGCCCAGGCGCAAAGTGACCGGCCTTACCATAAATATATAAAAAGATAGATAAATAAACAAATAAATAAATGAATAAATACCAAACCAACAAAAACAAATACAAAGATAACATAACAAGATAAATAAAGATTCGCCACTTAAATGGGGACCAGAGGGAAACGTCACACGAGAAGGTTATTGGTATATTTCTGGATGGCCTGAGTTGGACGCGGAAAAGCACTAGCACGCCCCATAGTAGTTGATCATAAAGCGAATACTGACAGAGAGGGATCAATTGCCGACCGATATCGGCCAAGTGTTCCTCGCGTATCTACCGCTGGTGGAGACGCTCCAGCGATATATCGGTCAAGCATACGCCGATAATTTACCATCAATAGGTCAATAATAGACCGACATGCCGATACTGGACTGTGATATCGGCCGAAAATTACCCGCAAAACACATAAGCTAAAGAACGAGAGACGTGATGGTGATTTACCATTTTCCATGTCTGGAGAGTAAATGGAGCACGTTTCGGGTCTTTCTAGTGGAAAACTTTCTGTTGCAACGAAACGTCTGTAAAAGTAGTCACGTTTTTTGATGTCGGAATGAGCCAAGCGGATTTTCGTGTTCGATTCCTTCACATCCATCTTGGATACCAGTCTCATGCCTTCGCTGCTGGTTTTTTCCCCCCGTAAACAGGACGAGATTCACAACAGAACTCGCCATTCCTGAGTTTTGTTTACCGTTTGCTCATTCGCTGCAACCGTGAACCAACCGGTTTGACCATGTATTAGGGAGTTTAAGATACCACGACGGCGACGACCACCAAAACGTCGCTTAAAAAGTGAATTTGCGTTTTTTTTCAATCTCTGTCGCGATTACTCCAACTCATTTACTTTGTCAAATGCAAGCGAACTCTTTTTGAGCCGAATTCCTAAGAACCACATTCAAATTCAGAAAGAGAAAGAAAATTTAGCAGTCGTTGGTTTACGTCCTCCATAAAACGTGAAATTAGGCATTTTCCCGTCGTGGTCGTGCAGTGGCGGCACAGAAATGTACAAAAAAGCGTGATGCACGTGCAAAGTTGTTGAGCGCTTACCATCTGTACGGAAATTTTGGTGAAAAGTTTTAGTCAAATGGTACTGGTATTTTTTTGGCACCGAAAACAGGAACAGGAATGAGTTGTACCATTTACAAAATGCCGGTAAATTTTTCGCTTTCTCTCGACTTGAAGCCTGGCACTGGCAATGCAAACAAATGGGACAAAAAATTACGGTTGTTTTCGGTAAAAACGGGAAAAAGGTAATGCTTCGAAAGGTATCACTTTTTTCCGGAAAATTTCCACCGGGATGAACCGTTCGATTTAAATTCTCCCTGGAAATTCCTGGTTTTCCATACATATGGTAAGCGCTCGTTATTTTGCCTATTCTAGCTATTGCTTGTTTGACGTTTTACGTTGTCGTCGCCATCGTGGCATCTTAAAGTTCCTAATGGTAAACAATAATTAAACACATGCGATGGACATCACTGTGCTCAAAAGGAATATTTTGTACCTCCTCTCACTTATACCTGCACCTCATGCGTTTTCTTTTTACCGGGTAATTAGCAGGCCGAGCTTTCGTTCGGCGAGGTTTTTTTGAGTTAATTTATTTTTTATTTTATTTTGTATTTTAGGCTATGCGTTATCTATCGTACGCCCTGTATCCTCTGCTGGTAGCTGGCGCAGTGTACTCTCTAGTTTATTATCCGCACAAGAGGTAATGTAAATTCCTGGCTCCATTTGTTTAAAAGATGGATACTGCCGTCCACTGGATAAATCTTGTCCAGTTGAGAACACATTATCCACTGAGTGGTGATCTATTTCTTGGACCTATTTGTCAGACCCTAACAGCTATTTTAGGAGAGGAATGATAAACATCCCCAATAACCCAATACCACACTTTGATTCTAAATCAAGAGGCACAAGACCTTGCCTATTTTAGACCCAAACTTTGAAATCTACAGTTGACTCCCGATAACTCAAACCTTCTAGGGAAATCGAAAAAAATTCGAGTTATCGAAAGTTCGAAGCAAATATCCAGAAATAAGGAAATAAGCAAATGGATGGGAAGGAATGCAATTTTCATGCAGTCTTCACTTCAAGAGCAGCAAGAAATAAAGTTTGATATTTTGAAAAAGGAATTAAGTAACAAAGCTTGATTGATATAGAGTGATAGACACTGGAGTGACAAAAGAGTAAAGACCAAGAATTGACACGGTTGTTTTGAAATAAATTATCTGTTTCGGACTTCAGTACACCGTTTCTTTTTTTTTTTCCAACTTGTCACGCGCTAAAAACATGGTTCAAGTTATCGAGGGAACGATTATACAAAAATTATCTGAAGGGAAAACAAAAATTACTTCGAGTTATTGGGAGGTTCAAGTTATCGAGGACCGAGGGTAAAATTACAGTAAACCTATGAAGGAAATTCAGGGGAAACAAACGGTCGAGTTAGCGAGGGTTGCATACCCAAGTTCAGGCTATTAAAAAGGGGTTCAAAAACCATTCTCTTTGGCGCCCCACATATCAGCAAAGATTACGTAAGGAAGTACCTCCTTTCCCAGGGAGGCAAGGAATAACCTCTTGAAAACAAAGATGTGTAAAACGTCTCCTCAGTTTAATAGCTCTGTCGTGTGACAGAGCATTCTGTGTCCTCAGTCGTCAACTTCAGGCCTCTTCTCCTTCTACGTATGGGTTCATCTTCTTTTTTATTTGAGTTTCTGTCATTTCATAAAGCTGCTACACTGTTATCTATTTTCTAACCTTTCATTCCTCTCCTTTAATTCCAGTTGGTATTCTTGGATTATTCGAAGTCTTGTGAATGGTAAGTTAGTTGTCATCCATTTTCAAACCATTTTTGAAAGAAAACCGTTAAAACACGTGTGAAGACAGGGTCTGTCACCTTTTGGAAAGAAATTAAAAAAAAGAGACAGAGAGAGAAGAAAACAAGATCTCTAGATCTCAGACGCAAGTATCCTTTTGATTGCGAGGTTTTCCCGAAAATAGGACTAGTATATGGCTTGTATGAGGTTCTGTTTTTACTCTGTGAACTTTGTCTTCAATCTCAGTTAGTCGTCACCACGGCAGGAATTACCCTGGAAATTTGACCCTTTACCCTCTCTCCCAGTAGTGCCTCCCCCCCCCGAAAAAAAATAAAAACAACAACAACAAAAACATATAAGGAGAAACAAAAAACAAACTGCGGTGATAAACATAAGGAAATATAAACGCTTTTCGTTCTTGAAAGCCGGAAAAAAGTCTTTAACTTGACGTTTCGTATGTTCCAACATACATCTTCAGAAGTAATAAACCGTCGAATAACAACAGAATTTAAATGTAGAATAAGTAACTGATTAAAGAAACGAAATATAACATAGTAGAAAATTTGCATTAAAGGAAAAAGCATGCAGACTGAAAAAGGTAAAGTTTTTCACTGCCGACATTTTCATTTAGGGAAGGTTCTAAGTCCCTAATCAGCAGAGTTTCCTTTTAAATTGCTTTTTGTAGAACATCCTAAGAGACAAACAGTACTTCGCAAAAGTTCTGCCAAAGGATGAGGTCTATTGAAATGCTTTTCGAAGTAATCGTAGTGGAGGAGACTGGTCATGAAAGGCGGCAAACATCAAAGATAAAAAGCTACCTGACGATACACAATAGCCCACGTTCGAATTCAAACTTTAGGGGCAAAATTGCAAATTTTTCACGACTCCATTTTCTCGCAATTCCCAGGAGAGACTTGAGCACAAAGAAAACCCTGAAACCAAATATAGAAGAGCGACCAGAAAGCCTCGGACTCATGTTAGAATTCAATAATGATATGGAACGTTGGCCATTCTATATTTTCTGCTCACAAATTATGACTGAATATATTAATGCGACGTTTTCATTGGTCAATAAGATCAAAATGATAGGAATGCCAGTGTACCTTGTGCACCGTTAGGTTAAAAAAACCCAACCCTTTAACAGAGAAGCCTGACTGGTTTCGTAACCATCCCACTCTATTAACTACGAAGTAATTAAAATCATTAGAGCGCTTTTACTCGGTAACTATAAGCTTTGAGTTTATTTTAGAAATTCAGCACCTGCTTTTGTCACCTTCAGGTGTGTACGCATTTGGTTTTCTGTTCATGCTCCCTCAGCTGTTTGTCAACTACAAGGTGAGTTTCTAGGACAAAGCATTAGTCAACTCTCTTTTAACACCTCTCTAAAAGTTGACTCTCTACCAGACGGACATCCTCTAAGACCGACACCTGTTGTTGCTTCCAAAGATGTCCGTCTTTGAGCCGATATAGAATAACGGAGAATACAACAGATCCGTGTAGAATAGGATGATTCGGTGCAGCTCAGACTGTGATGATCTCTTATGATGGTATGGAATTTCGTGCTTAGCCGTGGAAAAGCGGAAACTTGAACCAAAGTGAGGTAACAAGGGTGATCGGGCACTTATTACTGGTGTGAAGGGCTTAAAAAATCAGTAGAACCTCGCTATCTGAATGCTCAGTACTGACTTGACGACGGTGAACAGTACGCTTTGATGTGAAGCTGCGTATACAGACTAGCCTAGGAACCTAGAGAGTCGTTGTCAATATCACTGAGCTGTACTTGCTTATCAGGAGATTGGACTTGCCTCAAGTCGACCTCACGACTTCATGAGTTTCTAAGCGAGCGGCCGAGCGAACGGCGAAGTCGCGAGCGGTCTTCGTCCTGCGCCATATTAGGGAGCTTTAGCATCGACGACGGACGGCAGCAGCAGCGAAAACGTCAGTTTTAAAATGAATTCCCGTTGTTTCAATCTTCGCCGCGTTTATTCCAATTTGCTGAAAATGGCAAGTGTAGGCGAATTTCCCTGGAGTTGATTTCTTGAGGACCGCACTCAAGTTTAGAGAGAGAAAAAGAGATTCGTCGTCGCTTTTACGTCCTCCATAAAACTTGCAATTAGGCATTTTCACGTCGTAGTCGTGCAAGGACGGTAAAGAAATGTACAAAAATGCGTGGTGCACGTACAAAGTTGTTGTTCTGCGTAATAAACCTATTGCTTTTTTGACGTCCTCTGCTTTGCCGTCGCTGTCGTCGTTGCTAAAGCTCCCTAATAAGTCAGACGCAGGACTTTTTTGAAAGACGAACCAGAGGATTTATAAGAACACCTCCAAACATTCGGTTGGTTTTGTTGAAAGTGTTAAAATACTCGAACAAGACTCGGAAGGTCTCACGCTCAATCTCCTAATCCTAACTGACAGAACCTCAGCTGAAACCTGATTCCGCTTCACTTATAACTTGATGTACACCACTGACATTGTCTCTCCTTTTTTCTTCAGCTGAAATCAGTCGCTCATTTACCCTGGAGAGCCTTCATGTACAAGGTAGGTGGATTCTTATTTACATTTCATGGGGCAGGGAGTGGTGAGTGGAGAAAAAAAAAGTCCTGTACGCCAACGCGCCGGGAATATCATGTCACAAAACTTCCCTACTGCATTAGAAAGGTACCTGTTCTCGCTCGCAATCTCCGGTATTGCAATGAAAGCGGATTATTTGATCTCTTGGTTTGCAACTTTTAGTATCTGCACTATTTTCAGCATTTCTGCAAAAAAGAGAAGGGTCGCTAATTTATACGTTTATTAAATCTCCGTCGATGATTTTCTTTAAAATTACTCTTAAGGTCTTTTTTTTCCATCGTGTTTTCCAATAAAGTTTGAAGTTTGTTGATATACTCTAAGGGTATAAACAACCGACGCCAAAACGGCAAAGTTTGCGCTGTCTTTTCAAGAGCCCTTAGTCACTTGTCTTATTTACAGTGTGTCTTCAAGGTTGATAATTGGTAATCAGGCTCTTGAAAAACCTCATCGAGCCACCTAACATTTGAATCTGTTTATGGTCCCCTTTCGTTACAGCCTGCAATATAGCAATGTATAATTGCAAGCATGTTTTTAGTGTTTGTAATTAGCTTTTCTGGACACAGGCCTGCCCCGAGGGAATAGGCACGAACGGGACTCAAAGGTCCCATGCAAGGTGCCATCCCTACCCAATCCCACAACCCGTTAAGGTTGGCCACACCACCGGGGTCTACGTCCCCTACTCTTTTCGAACAGTAGTGTGGGTTCTTTTAATTACGTCCCACAAGAACAGATCGGTGAAAGTTCTGTGAGACGGGACCTACGGTTTTTCGTCCTTATCCGAGAAGACTAGAAAGTCTAACCATTTGCAGATGTCATTACAAAGGCAGCACTTCCTTCTCAGTTATTTAAAGACCCTAAGTGTTGGTCCGGCCGGGGTTTGAACCCGCGACCTCCCGCTCAGCAGACCCGCGCTCTCCCAACTGAGCTAACCAGGCGGCGGTTAATCAATTAATGGTGACGACTAAAATTTTCATTTGCAGGCATTCAACACGTTTATTGACGATGTGTTTGCATTTATCATCATTATGCCAACCGCTCACCGACTGGCTTGCTTCAGAGATGATGTGGTGTTTGTCGTTTATCTATATCAAAGATGGTAAGCTACGCACTTTGATCTTTTTTATGTGTAGGCTATATACGAGCATGCAATTTTTCATTTTCATACAAGCCTTGAATTGAAAATTTTCTAAGAAGACAGAAATATTTGAGGTTACGTTTGGCTGTCTATAAAACCAGGAACAGGCCCAGAATACCCCGGAACGCCCTTAATTACAAACATTATGCAAAAAATTACAAAACCAAAAACAGCCCCCCCCCAATAAAGCCGTACTAGACAAAAAGCAGACAAACAAACAACAACAAAAAGAAGCTGCTAACGTTTGGTAGTGGTATACAATACAAGTACTTCGCGGATGCCGTTTCAAATTGGCGGGGTATCTTCTAGTTGCTCCAGCTCTACTGAAGGAAACGAGTGGAACAGTTCTAAGTTTTTCTACTTGCCTACAGTTGACTACGTTTCCTCACTGGTATATGAAATTCCACAAGTTCCCCCCCCCCCCCAAAAAAAAAAAAACGCATTAGACGTTTGACCGCGGTAGAGGATTTTCCTAACCAAGTCTATTTCCGCAGGTTGTACCCTGTGGACATGAAGCGCGTGAACGAGTTCGGCGTGTCTTATGACGATCAGGAGAAGGAGCAAGACAAGCCACACAAAGATTAATAATGCTTAGTTTATTGGTAAATTACTAGGTGTAGTTAAAACAAAAGTTAAGATAAAGTTCTTACATTCTCAGACTATTTAAAACAAAGTTTTGTTTCTTGTTGGTTTGTTTGGTTTCAGCTAGTTTCACGCGTAAATCTTTGGGACCTAGCTTGGGACCTAGCTGACCTGGTCACTAGTATTTCAACTTTGCTAAGCGTTTACCTCAACCCAAAATCAGAGGTGCGTGTCGGATACATCTAGAAACGCGCTTCAATCTTCCCTAGTTTTTCATTCTTTTTTTTTCGATATTTTTACTTAAAACCTGTTTGTGAGTATTCTTTTATTCATCCTATAATATTGTGTTATCATATTTGGTTAAAAACAGTATAGACCACGAGTGGCCGTCTTTCTTTCCCCAGAGCCACGCGCGGCGAGCGAAAAAAAAGTGAAATTATGCAAATTTATAGTATAAGGGAGGAGAGATAGGGGTTCCTCCTAGGCTCCTCTGCAGGTAACTCCTATTGGAATGGTTAATTGTGACCCAAAAGAAAAATAAGAGGGTGTTCGTAGTCGAAAAACAGTATGATCGGGTATCTTGTGATATGCAAATCAGTTAAGAAATGGTATCTAATGTGCATGTGCATCAGCTGACTGTGTCCCTTTAATGAGTTATGACCTTGCCTGGCGGATTTATTCTGACTGCAGGTCTTTGAATTTCCATCTTTGTCTGCCTCCATGTCATCGTTTCCATGCAGGTTATGTTAATAACTTTAAAAAAATTGTAAAAATGCGGACGCCCTTCCTATGCCACCCTTAACCTGACAGTAATTCTGTCAAACGCCTTAAAGGTGCTTAAAAAGCCAACTTCGTCTCTCTTTGTCTGTCTTTGTCTCCAGGGTCCCTTCTCCAAGGAAAAGGAAGTAGAGAGGCCCTGGAAAAGCCAGGTTGAAATAGTGTTGACGTGTTGCACATGAAACTAACACTCGTTACTGGGGCAAATTATGATCTCAATTGTAATTCAGTTTGTTCGCCTCAGTGCTCCATTCACCTCGTTAGTAAAAGTAGTGAACTACAACAGGAAGGTTATCTGCTAAAAACGATTCTGCTGAGTTGATTGTCTACGGCGTTTTGTAACAAATCGTCTCCTCGTGACGAGATTTCATCGACTGTGTTCGTGATCCAGCTGATAACGGGTTGGGCTCATGGAACGACAGTTCTGCGAAACACATGAAAGAACATCCTCACTTAAGCGTTCGTTACCTTCCCAAAATACTTAACTTTTAAAATTACACAACAAGCAAATGAGTAACTTACCGGCTGCCTTGCAGAAAATATTTGTCCCTCGCACTCGGGTCCGACTCATACATAACACTCACGAATGTCTAACCAAGAGGTCGCAGATTGAAGAGTGCTAAGAAACTATATCACGTTTATCGCCATTTCATTGAAAGCGTGTTCAGAAAGAATCATAGACTTTCACTTTCTTAACGCTCACAAAAATCTCGAATAAAATTTTGGCCGCCATTTTCCTTCGCTGCATAGCGTGCGACACAGAGGGGACTGGGAACTGCTAACTGAGAAGAGCGAACAAACTTCCCGACAAATGGATCAGGCGCTTTCAAGACAAAAATACCGCAAAATTCCGAAAATAAGCCCCGGGGCTTATATTTTTCAAAGGCCCTTTCTGAGGGGCTTATTTTTGGAGGGGCTTAGGGAAATTTGCGTTTCAAAATCAATTGGGCTAGCCTTACAGTTGGAAGTAAATTTACCGTCTTTGCTTTGTTTTACTTTGTATTTGAGGGCAATTTTCCAAGTACAAGCCCCCGGGGACTTATTTTTGGAAGGGCGATTTAACGGAGGGTTTTTTGCATTACCGGTTTTCTGGGTTTATATTTGGAGGGGCTCATTTTCGGAATTTTTAGGGTAGGTAGCATGCCCTGTGCGGGTAGGAATTAATTTAAGTGATCACGATCACCATGAGTGGTATTATATGATTGCTATTTTATTGTCAAAAAATTTATCGAACTTCTCCCTTTTTTAAGACACTTCAGGAAAAAAAAAAATAAATGCATAACATCGAACTTAGGTTATTAAGGGGCGTTGGCGTTGGAAAGGCAAGTGGAAGGGAATGATTTGGCGCGCGAGACCGCGCGCCGGAGGGAGAAACTAAGGATAAGAACGCCTGCGTGGAGGCCATTGTTTCCCCTTGCGGGCATTTCGCGCTTCTTGCGCGCGCCCGGAATCCTCTTCCCCTATGCTTTCAAACACTTGCCACGCAGGCTTAAGGATGTCAAGACTACTTTTTGTTGACAGTAATTAAAACGCTTGTCCCTGGAGAAGCATCGGCTAGATGTTTAAAAACCAGCAGGTTTTTCTCCGGGGAAGACCAGGTGACGGAGGATGGCGTGACATTCACGCTGTAACCAGACGGATAATGCACCTCTTCGTTCAAATACACTTTGGATTCTGTTGAATTACAAGTTTGGGATACTTCGTATACTAACATGAACTCTTTCGTTGTTAAATCAAAACTGAATTTCACGGTGTTTCCGGCAACGGCCTGAGGATAAGTGCGCGTTGTGTTTTGAACGTAAATCTGGTTGAGACCTGTTTCATTCCATAGCGAACAGCACTTTTCGCTTTTCGGGGAGGGGCGGGGTGGGTGATAGGCTTTGTAGTCCCATCCGATCCAGGATTGCTGATAGATGTCGGCGGCAATCATTGTTTCAAACATGGGGGCTATTGTCCCCGCACTCGTCAGAAACTCCGTCATCATTCCTCCGCATTGTAATCTCTCGAGATCTTTCTTGCGCGCCTCGAAGTTCTCAATGAGTTCCAGTGAGGGCGGGATGTAAAAATGATAGCTTAGAACGCTTCTGTTGCGGTAGAGGTCACCACCTGGTACGCTCTCAAACCCGACCCCAAAATCATCCCAAGTGACGCCCTCAAAGAAAATACAGTGCTGATCATCATGCTGCCGAATTGCCTTGCTTAGAACCTCATAGGCGGGAGCCAGATTCCTTTTGTCAGCAACACCCGGGATAAATAGCAGTGGATCAGCGTAAACATCCCCAGCCCAAGGCTCGTTAATAAGCTCGTAGCCGATAACGTTGGGAAAATCCTTAAAACCGGAGGCAGTCTTCGCCCAGAATGCCGCCCATCTGTCTAACAAACCATCGGTGTTGTTGTAAAGATTCTGAAAAGCCACGCTCGTCGCTTCGGTTAAGTAATAATCTGACCACATGAACTTAGCACAATCTTCGTCTGTCGGCATGCCTGTTTTGGGATCGTTTACGTACGGATCATGCAGTGGCTCAGGAAAGCCCTTTGCGTTTCCAGTGTTTACTGCCCAGGTGGGCAAACCCTCAACACAGAGCACCCTAGAAAAGGCATCTTGATGCATGTCGAGCAGGACATAAATGCCGTATTTTTCGGACAGCGTGACAATCTTTTGCATGACCTGAATGTAGGTGTCGTTGTATTTTCCTCTGCTCGGCTCAAGACCAGGCCACATAAATCCAAGCCGAATAACATTTAAGCCAAGGGATTTTAAAAGTTGCATGTCTTGCTCGGAGAAAGTCCCATCTGAGAAACCTTCGGTTTCCGGATGCCAGGGAAAACTCTTCACAACCACATTTGTCCCGTGGAAGTACACCTCTCGACCCAAGCTGTCCACCAACTTTTGTCTCTCTGGTTTCACAGAGATTGGTAGAACATTTGCCGCTGAAAACACAGCTAAGAAGCCGAGTACTAAAAACTCCGACAGCATTATGATCAGAGTGCTGCAATTTGTACTGTAATGTCTCAATTCAAGAAATTGGGAAATCAGTCACGAGATTGCAGTTTCAAGTTACAACTACCATTCCGTTTTCGGGCCAGAGTCACGCAATGCTCCCCATCCCTCACAAGACTAGAGCATTTTCGACATTCTCCGATCAATCTCAGATCGCAGTGGGTGCCCTTAAAAATTGTTTCTCAAACATATCACTGCTACTTTGACTAAGTGATTGTTTGGCAAATAATTTATTTTAACGAAGTCATGGATGGGCCTGGAAAGGGCTGCTGGTGGGTGTGGCTGGCTTTGGGTGTTTGAAAAAATGGAATTACACCACTGTCAGTTCTCCTACGCTATTGGTAAAAAAGTCCTCCGTATTATCTGCCCAAATAAATGGTTAGTAAATAAAAAATACAAATAATAATGATTCCCAAATTTTGTGACGTAGTTTTGGATTGTCACGCAATCCCAAACGGGAGGTGAACTAGTAGAAAAAATGAGACTACAGCCAGTTTTTTAAACGGTTTTTACTGAAGCTAGTTGCACCCTCCGGGGACGTTGGGGCAGACGTGTGCCAAAAAGGCCTTCAATTTTAATGCGACAAAGAGCGTTCATTTCTCTGCCCTGTTTAAGTCAAGAGACCTTTACTTTTATTTTTCAAAACTCCCGATCATTCGTACCAAGTGTTTTCCCTTTGATTTGCTTCGGTCAGACAAAGAGTCTCTTTTGGTCAGACACAATCAATTTTTAATTTATTTTTTTTAAGTTAAGTTATTCATTTTGAGAGCCTTGCACCTGACCGGTCAAAACGACCGGCCAACTAAAAGTTTGTCCGGACAAATCAAATGGTGATATCGGCTGGTCATTGTCCGTTGACCGACCGATATTTTGAGATTTAAAATTGAAGGGAAGGCTGATCGGACAGCTAAGGTTTACAAATTTATTTGCCCAATATTTCGACTAGACAAAACTAGTCTTCATCAGGGGCTAGTCCTGCTGAGAGTGCCCCTTGGGTTGCAGTACAGCTCACAAGGATACCTTCCGATAAAACTTGTTTGATATCTTTTGCATAACTCTACCGAAGCATTTTGTGTATGGGCATGGGCGCTAAATGATGACCTCAGCACAGAATAGACCTTGTCACGGTTTTCGACGCCATCTTGACGAGTAGGCAAACATGTGAGAAATTAGAGTGTTTATATGAGAATCCAATGTCGAATAATTTCTGTAAAACGGCTTTTCTGAAAAAAAATATCAATTGCAAACTAAAGCTAAAAGAGCGAAGGATTGTACTTAAACATTTTGGGGGCGTACCTGTGCTTAAATTTCTCCAGAGGCTTGCTTTAGATTTTCCATATATTTGTCTGTAATTTTTCCCGGGTTTTAGGTTCTACTTGTAGGTCTTCTAGCGCATGTAACGCCGTCAATTTTTTGCAGTAGAATCCTTAGGAGTGAAGCTTTAGTTTGCAATTCATATTTTTTTCAAAACAGAAATTATTCAACATTAGATTTTCATACAAACACTGTAATTTCTCACGCGTTTGCCTACTCGCGTCAAGATGGCGTCGAAAACCGTGACAAGGTCTATTGACCTAAAACAGCAAAATTCTTGTTACATAGCAACTTTAAATTTAAGGACCGACTGAGTTGACAGGTTAATAAGGAATGAGGCTCTTTATTGATGTTGGACGCAGTTGCAGCTGTCAAATATTACAGATTCTTTGAGGAACCCACGAAATTTTTCTTTTTCTTAAGGATCATTAATTTGTGGCTAAGGTCAGGAGACTGGTCAGGAAATTCAGGGGCATCAACTTTAGTGACACGTTTTTCGTTGATCGCCCCACTTCGATTTAAAGCGAAGAATTTGGGTTTCGTTTGGTCATTTTTTACCGATTTGCAGTAACTTTGGTCAAAACTTCCCTTGGCTACGTTTTGTGGAAAGTCACCCATCATGTTTCCAGCTGGTTTGTATCTGCCCACAATATAGGCACATTTCATTCCGTTTTGTTGAGACTCAGCTCTTCCAATACCAAGCTCAGTGCTCTCTTTCCAAACAACTTGGGTGAAGTGACCCGTACCTCCTGAAAATCCACCGCTAGCAAAATTATAACCAGGATCACAGACCTCGTTGTACCTAAAACATATCAAAAAATTAAAGGAAAGAGAAATCAAAATGTGACAGAGACGACAAGGTGCAGGGCTGTGCTTAGTTCACACCAAGAAAGGATACGTACTGAGGGTTCACACTGTAGACTGGCTCATCGACAAGTAAGTTTGTGATGTAATTCCAGTCAGAAAAATTAAGGGAATTTATGCCTAACCGAATTTCCTAAATTTTTATATTTTCTCAAGGAGAAAAAGCTCATCACTTCTTGGAACTTTCCAATGTCAGTGCTTCCTTTCCACACTACTTGGGTGAAGTGACCCGTGCCTCCTGAAAATGCACCGCTAGCGAAATCGTAACCCGGGTCACAGACTTCGTTGTACCTAGAAGCAATACACGTGTAAATCTGTTTGAATTTTGCCAACATTATTACCGTAACGCTCCGAAAGTAACGACCCCCCGAAAGTAGCGACCCTTAGTTCAAAAGTAGCGATAACATTTCAAAGGTGTTAGCAAATGTCAATAGTAGCGACCCTCCGAAATTTAGAAATAACGGAAATTATAGATATAACAAGCTTTACCTAACTGATCCGAGATTTATTTTTAACGGTTATAATGATCTTTGACTACTTCCTTTTTTTTAAATTCAAAAGTCTTCCTTTCGTCTTTAAATACCCATACCGTAATCAAGCAATTCTTTTGAACTTATATTTAGAAAGCAATAACATGAAATAAGTTTCTCCAAAGAAAAAGTGTGAATGTTTTCCCAATTGTCGCCATATTGCTATCGTACCTTCGTAACGCCCACGTACGATACATGTATTAGCTACCCGAAAGTAGCGAACTCCAGAAAGTAGCGATAGGAAAAGGCTGCAAAAGTCAAAGGTAACGAGAGTAGTTACTTTCGGAACTTTACAGTACCCCCAAAACTGTAGATTCACCACCGACGATTGAGATTAAGGTTATTTTTTTGCTCAGCCCTAAGGTTCTTGAGTGCAGAGGCGGAAGTGGGAGAGGGAGCCCTTTGAACCCTGTGAGGTTGAAAAAGGGATTACCGAGGCGTCAAGCGTATCTGGGGTTCCATGGACATCGAAGGAACCTCCCCCCCCCCACCCCCAAGATCCGCCCCTGTTATGACATCAAACCATGGGTCATAATGTCCATTATGGCTCTTGATCAAACGTAAAATAATGGATAGAAGATTGATATCCTTTAAAACCGGTTGTTTAACACTCACCAGTTTGTCACAGCCTCTTCCATGGTTTGTGAACCACTGGTGGAACATCCCATGGAAAGGTTCTCTCCTTGTCCAACCCTGTCTCCCCTCTGTGAATGCATCAGTGCCCCCATTGCAGCTATTTTCTTAGCATAGGCTTTAGCCTGGTCGCACATCTCCCTATTGAGTTTCATTGGTGGTGCTTCGTGTATTTGGCGAAACTCGTTATGTTTTGCCAAACCGGCTTTTTCTTCTTGAGTAAATGCTGAAAAACAACAAAATACCGTCTAATATAGAAAGCGATATGAGAACATACCTCAGAAATAGCCCATTTCACAGTATCAGGTTGAACGAGGTTGGATTTGACCTTGTTTTTGATACAAACCTTTCTGCATTATTATGTAAATCATGTTATTTTTCTGCTAACCAGTAATTTTTAAGCATAATTTCCTTTATGAAAGGAGGCAGGTTTGTACCAAAACAAGGTCAACTTCAGCCTCACGTTCACTCAAAGGCCAGGATACTAAGCCCATAACTGTAAAATGGTCTATTGTAAACAAGGATTCGCCAGCTGATTCGCATATAAATACATTGTTTCACTTTACCATTGTTACCAAAAAAACCAGGATGCGTTCGATTGGAATTTGTAGATTTAGCTAGGGCTAAAAACGAAGCTCTCGTTCATACTAAGTTTCTAGTTTAATCAAACAAAATATAAAATTCTGTAATGCTAAGAGGCGACGGCGACGAAAACGGCCAAAAAATTCAGAGGAGGTCTAGCCTAATAAGCAGAAGGAAAAAAACTTTTCACTTGCAGCACACCTTTTTTTGTGCATTTCTTTGCCGTTTATGTTGTGTAGTGCTCGACTACAACGTGAAACTTCCAGAAACTTGCTAGTTGCTCGTTTTATGAATCGAGGAAGTGTTGTATGTGGTCCTGTTCATTTTTCTTTCGCTGCCTCTCATTTTTACCTTGGTGGCGGCTGGCATTTCTCATTTCCTCACCGCCGCTATAAAATTTTCCTGTTTTTCTTACAACAAAATCTGTCTCCTTTGTTTTTGTTATCTCTCGCTCTAACTCTTTCCCTGATATCCACGTCAATGTAGACATTAAAATTTAGTTGAGAGAAAGAATCGGCTTTGTTGTTGTTGTTGTTTTCTTCTCTCTAAAAGTCAGGGTAGCCATGCAATTTACCGCGGAAACGTGCAGGTGCTTGAAATGTAAAATTTCACCCCGGCTTACATAAAGGGGTGCGGGACGTACTTACGGACCAAAACTTCTTGGATGCATAGATAACCAATTTTTTCTTATCCATAATGCTACGTTCGGCGCGCACGAGCTCCGCTATCTATCGTTTTCCGTAACAGCAAAACGAACAAGGTTTTGTTACAAATCTCTCAATCTAACTGAATTTTGGACCAATTGAAAGAACATGCATGTGACTATTTTATTTCAAGCAGATTTCAAGACATTACAATGGATTAAATGCAAAAAAAAACAACAAAAAAAAAGCGATTTCTGGAGTTAATTCCATTTATTCCTTTCCGTAACATGGTCAATCGAAGTGCGCAACAAGTTTCGTTTAGCCACCAGCCAGATAAACCACAGAACTCATAATACCAAACAGTGCCGTAGTAAACACCATTACTAAGTACATTGTGTAATGAAACATGTAAAGGTATTTAAAACGTAGTATGTGAAGATTTGAGGCAATTTTTTAGGTAATAGATTCACAATAACCGTCAAGAATATAGGGACAATTCATGCCCAGTTAAAACCCTAGCACTCTACAGTAGTAAGCGTAGTTGCTGTAGTTTAAAACACCTGTGTTATAGTAATAAATTCTTGATAAAACTGTACAGTAGCAACTACACCAAACTATACGAACTACACTAAACTACGCAAACTACGCCAAGCTATGCGAACCACACCAAACTACGCGAACACTAAACTACAGCAACTACACTAAACTACACGAACTACAACAAACTAAAGCAACTACAGCAACAACACCAAACTACACCAAACTACAGCAACTACAACAAACTAAAGCAACTACAGCATCAACTCCAAACTACAAAACTACACCAAACTACAGCAACTAACAGCAACTACTCCAAACTACACGAACTACACTAACCAAGCAACTACAGCAACGACAGCAACGGCACCAAACTACAGCAATTACAGCAACTACATCAACTTCACCAAACTACAGCAACTATATCAACTACACCAACTTCAGTAACTAGAGCAACTACACCTAACTACAGCAACTACACCAAGCTACAGCAACTACAGTAACCGGCTACATCAAACTACAGCAAACTACAGCAAACTACGGCAACTACACCAAACTACAGCAACTAAACAAACTACAGCAACTACAGCAACTACTCCAAATTACACGAACTTCACCAACTATACACGAACTACAACAAACAACAGCAACTACATGAACTATAGAACTAAACCAAACCAGTACAGCGGCTATACCATACTGCAGGAACTAAAGCAAACTACAGCAACTACTCTTACTACAGTAGAATCCTAGAATTCTACTTGGGAATTAATTGTCTCTATATTCGTGACGGTTATCATGAATTCATTACCTGAACCGCATTATCTGGTGCTTTTTAGGCTAGAATCATAAGATTTGTTTGTTTGTTTTTGGATGGCTTCAAAAGGTGATGACTTACCTCCTGTCCCGGCTCCTTGCCCAGTTGTTGGCCCAGGCTGTGGTGTGCCTGTGCTTTTTGTTGGCCCGGTGTTCATTGTCGGCGGAATCGGCGGTGTGCTTGGGTTCATTGTAGGCCGAATGGGTGGTGTTGGCCGAATCGGCGGTTTGCCTGTTCTCATCGCTGGCCGAATCGGTGGTATGCCTGTGCCAGTTGGTAGTTGTAGAGGTCCCTGAGTAGGTATCACTCCTGCAGCCCCAGGGTTTGCTATCTCAACATGTATGTCTAACGAGGCCTTGCCGTTTGCAATTTTTCCACCCCCAGAGATACGTATATTGGACTGTCCTAGGAGTGATTCAAAAGTAGGGAAAATAATTATTAATTAAAGAGATGTATAGCACCTGAGTTTTACTCAGTCGATAAAGGCGTTTTCCCCACTCTCCTTAACGTTTTGACCATGACAACGTCAAAATAGCACAAAATTGATTAACAAGTTGACATTACAGAAGAAAAATTACCTTGGGATGATCCGATGGTGAGCAATAAATAAAAGAACCACATGTCCTCTTTACTGAATTCCTAATGAAACGAGAAAAAATTTTAATTTTTAACTTTAATTTCGTCTGTTCCTGTCTTAAACAGTTTTAACTCCGGGCACCAAAAACCCGGGGGGGGGGGGGTACTTGGGTTAATTTTTGCTGGGTATGTGCCTCTGGCCTCTCAGAGCCCGTGACCCTATTATAGCCTACTCTGTGGCCAACTATAGAGCCCATCTTAGTCACTTTTGGACAAATGTGTAATTTTCCTGATCCCAACTTAGTCACTTTCTATTTATGTATTTACCTTATATTGAATGAAGCATAATTTACTTTTCACCTACAGTACAAACATTCTGCTACGTTTGCTAACCGTAAATATAAAGAACTGTCTTACCCCCAAAATTAGAAAATGTACGACCCCATAGTAACTCTATTGACAATGCGACCCCATAATAGTCAATCAAGTCGTGAAAATGCGACCCCATCCAGCGGCACATCCCCATTAGCCACTTACAAGGAAGTACCCCCTCCCCCCGGACCTAAAATCGAGGCATTGTATTAACTCAGTTGTACAACTATGAGCAACTGCAACACGCAGAATAAAAGATTTAAATTCCTTAGAAAAAGATCTTGAAGTCTTCTTTATGAACAAAAAAGCAAAGGCTGGACAAAGATATTTTGCCACAGAGTATTAGCTTACACCCGGATGCATTATGTTTCTTGTCTTGTGCCCATCCCTCTCAAACAAATGCGTAATTTCTATAGAGAAAATAAGGGAAACCTCAGGGGAAAGGAGTTTGAGAGCTTCCACGAGTTACTGGTCATTTTTAGAAACTTTTTAAATCGAGAACTCGAAAAGAGTTTCATTCGATCTTCATCACACAACTCGAACTGCACCGAGATTTCAGCTTATATCACATATAAATATTACTGAGTTCCATAATCATCACTGGACGTTAAATGAAATGCATGCTTTAACTTGCTGTTGCTTTAGTTAAATAATGAGAAAAATCTCAAAGAGATTCTCCTCTGTATTTCCTCGATCTCTCAGCCTTCAGTTAAATTATTTCTCCGCCCTTTTCTTCGCTATCATTTAATGTGTTGGATCTCAGCAACAGAGAATAACAGAGAGGGATACGCCAAGATTAGCCTTTGGGTTTTCTGTGAATTTCACAAAAGTTATTTTAAGAATAACTAAACGTTATTCTCTCTTGATCTCAGAAATAAGTAAGAATTATCGACTTTATTTATCATCTAATACTCCATCAAGAGCCTCGTACTAAAGGTATTTTAGTTTGACTTCAGTTGACTAAGTAGGTAGATATTACTCGCTTTAGAAAGAACTGAGGATTGAACTTCGAGCTTCGGAGAGGAGGCTTTCACCATCCATTGTAAGAGCAATGTTTAGACTAGGAATCTGATAAAACCAGATCACACAAGTCAGGTTTCTAACTTCTTGTTAAAAGAGAGGTTACAAAACAACGCCCCACAACAACGACAAAAGAACTTAGCCTTGAGCAACAAAATCAGGAATTAGCCGCCACTACAAGCAATATTTTTAAGGTCATTGAATTTCATACTCTTTGTCTTAAGTGTCCACCAGGTAGTCAGTTCCATTTTGTGGGTCTTTAAATATACTCGCATTTTAGTACACTCGCATATGACTCTACAAATGACTCTGTTTTCTATTCTAAGGCAGAATTCAATGATAACGCCGGTTTTAGTCAGATTCATTGTGACGTGGTGGCAAAGAAATACTAACGGAAAAGGTTTTGTGTTGTTTGCGCGCCTTCGAAAATATTGTGATCTTGCACTGGAAGCCCAAATTTGACCTAACGTTCTCGTCCAAAAGTCTGGGAAAGGGGTATACTTAAGTGCAAAGTTATAGTTATATTCATTTTCTTCCAAAGGGTTCTATTAATTTATGGCAACCTTTCCAACCGAGTTACAGGTTACTGTTGCAGGATGAGAAACCAAAAAATGGTCGTAGTGACGATCAAGGCTAAAGCACGCAAACCTAAACTAACAAAGGAAAAAAAATAATCTTTAAAAAAGACAGTTCAAAAACTGTTTATACCAAAATTCAGATCTGGTTTCTATCCCGGCCAGAAAGATTCAGGGAAACGTATACCAGTGCCATAACCCACCCCTGCTAGTTGGTAATTGTCTTACCATTAACTCCAGCCGAGATAACACAGGTGTTTTCCACAGACGAAGAAACAAACTTACAAACAAATGGATATAAGTTAATGTTATACAAGCCAGACTTACCTTACTTGCTTCCTTACAGTTTGTATTCAACAGAGAGCGGAAAGTAATCGTTTAGAACAGCGGTGGTACAGGTCGTGAATGGTCCTTTGTTCACCTTTTACATCAGAAATGACCTGATTGTAGCCGGCCTTACGTAATACAGGTTAGGGTTAGTAATATTCTAACTGACGCTTATAGACGAGACAAATAAGCGCTTTCCTTTAATTTTGTAATGCAGTGTTCATATACAACATGAATACCGAAGCCCTGACTAGAATCTGTTGGAGATTTTATTATGTTTTTTCCAGGGACAAACTTCCTCTGGTTTGTCAGGAGACGTTTTCGACTCTGTTCACAGTATGACTAGTTGTGGAACCTGCATGTAACGGCCCTACCGATTACAGACCGATTATAAGTGGGCAGTTTTCTTAGCCTCGACTGTTCCCTCAAACAAATGCTGTGTTTCAGTGTTTTGTTATTATTATTTTTGAATTTAGAGGATACACATGCTTAACAAAAATTGGAAAAAACGAGCCAAAAAAAGAACACCACCAACAACAAAAAAAAACAAACAAACAAACAAACCAACAAAACAGAACAAAACAAAAACCAAACGGAAAGAACAAGAAAAGCTTTGATAAGATAAACCAAACGTAGTCACACGTACGCATCTACTGACCTACAAACACCTGACCAAATATATTACCATTACAGAAATATATCTAATAGCATTCCATAAATATATTTTTAAATGTCGATAATATCGAGTCTTAAAATATAATCTATCGGTAACGGCAATGATTAACTTTTCCCGATTTTCAACCCCCGTTATCGGCATTCTGAGTTTTTTTTCTTCTATCGTTCTGATATTTTAAAAAACTGTTACCACTGTTGAGAAATAATTTTTAGCCCTTTCTCTGTGGAGATCGTATTCGCTATGCACGGGTTTAAGTAAAATCGAGCACTTTCAATTCATTCAAAATGGCGGGGCCAAGATGGCAAATGGTTCCAGTTCCATCGTTAATAATAAATGTCGTCATCGCGACGTTTTTAATGTGTTAACCAACTTCTTGATTTTATCAGACATTTTACTATTTAAGTATTTTTCGCTTTATGGCTACTTTGAGGGGAATTCTGACAATGCAATGAATTCAACGATATGGCGTCATAACGACAATATTACGTCGTTGTGTCGATCAAGTTATGCCTTGTTGTTGGAAATGATGAGTTCATTATTCTGTGTATAATTTTGGTGGCCGTATCATGAGTAGTTGTGAAGTTATAGAGAGGGCTCTCTTAAAGACTCCTCCTCGGTCGTAGGTAGCAAAAAAAGTTCGGTCTGAACAAGGCTTTTGCAATAATTTGTCATGTGAGCAACTTTCTGTAAATAAGAAAACAATAGGCTTTGGAAAAAAACAAACATTGTGACGAGAAAATGGAATCATAATGTCATTTTATTTCGAGGCATTTCCCGTTGCTTATCAGCAGTGTGCAGGTAGCTGCAGGTGGTGGCTCACTTTAGGCCTGTCCAATCAGGAGATGGAACGTGTTTAGGTCTGTATAAAAGACTTGTATTGTTATATGTTTCGTGCGGCCCTTCCAGCTATTGCCATCAGCCTGTACTGCAATCCCTCTCGTCGCTTAGTTGAATTTTTTTCCCACCACCCTTGTCAGACTCCGACCTGCCATTGTCTATAACTTCTTATACATTTTATGTGCTTTATCTTGTCGTTAGTGACTTCTAATTTGTGGCGGATTTTTCGTCCTCACCTTTCCTGAAGAGATGTTAATTGGTGATTTTATATCATTGGTTCAAACATCACGGTTTTGGCCATTTATCCCAAACAGCTGACATTCTTTCTTAGTCATCTCATCGCGATCAGCAAACCAGTGCGACGCCATGCGGAGCTTTCAATCGTTTTCTTAAACTCGGATTGGGAAGACCCGCAATAAAAAAAAGATTTTAGTAGGAACTCAAAGAACATATTAAAATTAGGTAATTTTTTAATTTCAGCCGTGTATCTCAAAAGAAGCGGATGCAACGGCCGCCGAAAATTAGAGTATTGGGGAAACACAATTCTTGCCACCCACTCACGTTTGAATGGTTTTCCCTTACAAATCCTTGTAAATCTTTACTTCGGCGGGGCGCGAAGTAAAGTATTCGTGACGCTCAGGAATGTATCAAAGTTGACATTTTTGGGACAAGAAAAATGGAGAATTCTTTTTTCACTGTTTGTTTTGTTAGACTTGTTATTCACCGCCAGTAACCTCATATTTCACTTAGGTCTAAACGTTTAGACCCAAGACAAATTTAGAAGGATTTGTATGGAGTCATCAGAGCATAACTGGGCTAATATCTCAGAGAGAATTTGCCTCGAAATGCTAGTTTTTGGCAAGTAGGCCTCTTGGATGTTGCTCTTTTCAGAATATCCTGACAAATCCCATAATTTCACAAATTAACACCTTACTCTTACCATATCTCACTTCTTACTATTCCTCCGCATTTATGATTAATCAGGTCCTCAACCACGACGCCGAAGTGTACGCTTCATAGCGTCTTGTTAAATTTCCAAACTGTCGTAAGATCTTTCTCCCCTACTCATTCAAGGGCAAAATTTTTGTGTTATTTATAACAGAAAATTTCAGCGCTGTAATGCATAAGGGAAAGATTTAACGACAAGAATTTTTCTGGAAAACCACTTAAACGTGACTGGGTGGCAATTGCAAGAGCAACCTGGTTCCCAGGTTCTCTCTTGTTTCGTAGGGACGGGTAGGAGAGAACAGTAGGAACGAAGTTGTTGCAAGAGTTGGTTTTCCCATGCAAATGTTTCTAATTTTCGACGGCCGTTGCAATCTCTACTTTTGAGATATTCGGCTGAAAATTTACTCGTTACCAAATTTTGAAATGTTCTTTCAGTTACTGCTTAAATCATTTTTCTGAAATGCACTGTTTTTGTGTTCACAGAAAGTTGATCACTTGACCAGCAAATGCAAAGCACCTATAGGGTTAGTACAATCCAATTCCAATCGTGTTCCAAATGAATCCATCCTAAATTAATACAGAGATTAAGAATATGATTAAGGATATGTTTCCGGTTCGGTAAAGTCTTTATAGTGACCGACGCGAAAAGCTTTTTTTTCCTCACATTTTTATCTCGCAGCTCCGCCTCAAGTGACTTCTGCCTTCGGCCAAAGATATGCCGGCCTGCAGCCGAATTTGAAGCATCCCCACGCACGCGAGAAAAACCCTCTGGTGACCAGGGTACGTTTCAATACAACTCTGTCTCAATGTTTGGTTTTCTGTTCTGGCCATGAAGATGTTAGCAAAAGCAATGGCCATCTATGTTCCCATGGCTGTTCTATGAGTCTGTAGGTATTGGCTACCACAAAATTGGAACGAGTTTGCTTTTAATATAAGATAGTGTATTTCTCTTAGATACTTGGTAGATACGGGGGAGTATTCCAGGGAACGGGCGTGTGCCATCCGGTTCTCCTAACCCTGACCCTATTTCAGATTAAAAAATGTTATTTTCCACACCTGTTTTCAGCCCCGGCCTCTTAAATCCATACCCATTTTCAGACCTGGTATAGGTAGAATTTAGACCAGAAGTCAAACACGATGTCTTAACATTCATTTTGAATTTGCTTATTACTCTTTCTTTCTGATTCATTTGGAATTGAAACGACAAATACGTTCATACACTCCTGTAAAGCCACACCCAATTCCAGACTAAAATGGGCAAAATCCATACCCGTTTTCCGACCGAAACGGCGTAAAAACCCTTTGGGGCGGCTCATACCTATATGGCTTATATAAGGGAGTACCCTCCCGAGGGTGGGTCTTTCCCTCCATAAAAATCTTCGTATGCATACATACGGTGGTTAGGCCCTCTTCGTGTGGTATGTTGGTGTACAGGCGAAGCTTTGAAGATCATTATACTTCCTTTACGACTAACAGGAAGTTGCATGTGCAGATGTTATGCTAAACTGCATCAGAGATCAAATCCGGTCAGAAACAAACACCTTAGAAATCAATTTGCGTGAAGCAGACCTCTTTCATTTCGACAAGCGACAAAAATAATCTCTCCATAGCATTATCTACCCACTAGAACAGGTGGCTTGTAAACATGACCTTGCGTTAATGACCTCTCCGTGTCAGACAAGTGACAAAAATAGGCTACTGAATTGGCTTAGTCCAAATCAAGAATCGTACAGAGCATAATAATCTACCCTTTGGAAAGAAAACTGTAAATAAAACAAAGCAGCACTTGAGGCAAAAGTAGTGCAGGCCTACGGACCCTTTTTATCATTAAGTTTGATGTGTGTTTATGTGTGGATGTTTGTGCCACTTGTCCATAACAAGAACGCTCTAAAAAGCGTGAGTCTCACTTGCTTGGAGATTAGATAAAAAATGAGGAGGCAATTAATTCTTAAGGAGCCTCTGTCTTGGCGTGGAAGCCATAGGGACCATGAGGGGAAGGAGAAAAAAAAAGCTAGCTAGCCAGGTTGCACAGTACAAAAATAAATAGACTATTCCAATTTGTAGACTGGTATGTTCTACTGGAAATGAAGTCCTGCAAGCAGAGTGCGTGACAGTCAAGTACAAAGCTACCCGTAACACATCCGTGACACATAAGTGACGAATAGGTGAAGGCGAGAGAGGATAGGGAGGGCAGAGAAGGCATCCCCCATACACACCCTATTCCATAGGTAATTCGTCTCGAGTTATTTTTAGAATCGGGATAAAAGCACCGCGTGCGCTGCATGGATGTTTCGTGGAGGTTTCACATGACTAAACGCTGTGTTAAACATATCAGGCGAAAGGCAATGAAAGCGTAAAGAGTTCGAGAACATTCCTGAATATTAAAACGAAATGAGTCGGTGCTCACCTGCGAAAAGGGAATCGCTGGACGCTTTGACAACCCGTGAAATCAGTTTAACTCGAAGTTGTCGTAGCCTCAGCCTCTATAAAAT